GTCAACCCTGATTGACCAATCAACATCTAGGTGCTAATGGACACACTTACAACGCCCTTTGACCTCGGATGTTTATGTTTTTAATCGATAATGAGTCCGGGGCAATTATCCTAGGCGACACGCTAAACTGGGAGGTGTAAATGATAGGATTTAGTAAAACTGGCGATGAATTTAGGTAATGTTTAGGAATGATAATTGGATTTCATTAATGTGGGAGAGACCACACAATGCGATATGGTACCAATATTTAATGAGGCCGTAGGGAGCGTTTCTGCAATGGAACACGCAATGTGAGGCTACACACAATATGAATAACCACAAGGCCCAACATCATGCAGAGCAGATTATGCAGAATGTATAGAAATGAAGCTGCATTTACCATTGAAGTGCATTTGAATGCTTCGGTTTTTACACACGTGCACAGATGTGAGAATGAAGCTTGGGGTCTAAGCACAGGGCCAGCTGGATGGACTATTGTGGGGGTGTGGGGGGGGGGAGTTAAGGGCCTTGTTCAAGGGACTGAGATATGAGTATTCTGCAGGAATGGCAGCGGTTTGGTATGACGGGACAGTGCGTGGCTCAGTTGGTTAGGATTTTGCCTGTAACCGGGAGGTCTTACGTTTGCATTCCAGAGTCAGCAGCGTCACCATTGGCGCCCTGAGCAAGCCCCTAACCCCAGTCGCTCGAGGGACTCCAGGTCTCAGCCTGTGTTCTCTGTCACTTAAAAGCATCTGCTAAATAAGTAAAATGGAATTTGAAGTGGCAACCTTCCACTCACTAGCAGAGAGGCCTGAGCCACACAGATGATTATGCAGCATGGGAAGCTCACACCTGCATTCACATAGGAACCTTTTATTGAACTGGGAGCAGTAAGTAATTTCTTTTGTTACTCTACTGATAAGTGCCGCTGTCATTTTGTGAAACGTGCTTCACCTGCGTCAGTCCAGTAATTGTGTCTGTTTTTTGTCTGAGAAACGAAATGAATGTTAATGGCGCTTGGTCCCTGCAGCCGACGCAGAAAATCCCCCAGTGATCTCTTCAGGGATGAACGAGCTTGCTGTCAGATTACCTCAGCATTTAAATTTAGTTCAACTTGCTGTCATATTACCAACTATATTTCAGCAATTTGTACAATCAAAACACATGAAGCAACTGTATATTGCTGGTGGATTTCATTTGTACTGGAACCTTCTAGAAATACTTGAAAACCATAGTAGCTACATATACAGGGGGCTGGGTTTGTTTTTTCTGGGACCCTACTCAAAAAGGCAAATACATTGTTTGATTAGTGGTAAACACCTCCACTGTATATATACTAGGGCTGTTCGATTATGGCAAAAATCATAATCACGATTATTTTGGTCAAAATTGAGATCAGAGTTAACTCGATAACTAACTTTTTGCATTTTTTTTTTGCATATCTTTTTAACAGTGGATTTACTTGAACCCGGAAGTTAAATTTAATTTAAATTAGGATTAAAAAGGTGCTGGAAAGGGGAGCATTGGATTTGTAACAAACCAAAACTGCAGCATCATCGCAAAACTAATGGCAACACAATAATCTTTTAAATCTCGATTATTTTGTTTTGATAATCACCCGAAGCCAAAATCTTAATTGAAATTAAAACTCGATTAATTGCCCAGCCCTAAAATGTACTGAATGGAGACTTTCTCCGCATGCATGTTCGTCAGTCTGTTAGGGAACATACTGTACCTCCCCAGTTTACTTTACCTGTTTTACTTTCAGCTTGCCTTAGGGTTAAAGTGTACCACACACCTCCAATCAATGCGATCATGCACTGTGAAGTCTAACACCTACCTACAAGAGGATGTAATTAAAAACAGCGGAGTCCAGCATCTAGCAGACTATTTTGACAGAAAACCGCTGGACCAGTAAATCCACCCACCCCTACTTCCAGTACTCCAGCAATCTGCTGTGCTCATGCGCTCTGATTCCACCTTTGCATTGTAAACCAGTCGGCCACGTCCTGTTTTCTCTTCATATGTTTTTAATGCATGAAAACACGCTGAGACTGAAATAAGCCTCTGACTCAAGTTTTACTTTCCAAAAACTGCGGACTCATTACAGGTAACATAATCGTATCACTTGCACATAAAAAAAAAAAAAAAAAAAACATTTCTTCAATAAATGCAACATACTGCATGTTCAGTTCATAAAACTGATTCCTCTTGGATTCATACTAGGTCATTCTGTTTGTGCTGTTGATTGCTGAAACACTGAGAAACACTGAAACACTGAGAAATATGCACTAAAACAGTAAGTCAGGGGTGTCAAACTTCCGTCCTGGGGGGCCAGAGCCCTGTGTAGCTTAGTTTTTTCCCTGTTCCACCAAAAATGATTCAGCTCAAGAGTTGTGTGGTAATTAGCACAAGGAGTTGAATCAGGTGTTTTAAATGAGGGGAAACCCAAAAATGTGCAGGGCTCCGGCCCCCCAGGACTGGAGTCGGCCACCCCTGCAGCAAGTGTTGCATGTTATTAACTTTTTAAATAAATGGATTTGCTAAGCCAACATCTTGAAGTGTGTATATTTGACTGGCAAGCTACCTTCTACTCTAACTTATGATGGATGAGAAAATTTGACTCAGTCTTAAAGTCCAAAGGCTATGGTGGGATAAAAGAGAGATTGAAATCCCTGATTTTTAATTCAATTTATTTTTTATAACACCGAAAGCTGTATCATTGCTTTTAACAAAGATGTAAGCGACACATGCTGACAGCTGACTTGAGGCAAATTAGCAGGACCACAGATAAGAATAACAGTGATTAATCATGTGCTGCATTAGAAACCAACTCAGGAATCAAAAGCAGATTATCAATTTCTATGAGAAAAATAGGGTTGGTCCCCACGGTGTGATAAAAACCTGTTATTCTGACGTTGTAGGAACCATTTTTTGGGTCCTCACAAGGATCTGTGAATGCAATCAAAAAAGTAAAAATGCCAAAAGTCTTGTATTTTGTTTAGTTACTTATGGTTAAGGTTAGGGATGGGTAGGGGTTATGGTCGTCATATTGGGATGAGAGATTTCCCTATAGAAATGAATGGATAGTCCCCACAAAGATATCATTACAAACCTGTGTGTGTGCATGCATGCATGCGTGTGTGTGCATGCGTGTGTGTGTGTGTGTGTGTGTGTATGCATGCATGTGTGTTTGAGTGGAAGGTTTTCCACAAGATTATACAGTGAGTCTGTGGGAGTTATACAGTGCAGTCAGGCAGGTAGCGAACCCAAACTCATCCATCAGACAGAAAAGCGTGATTTGTTGCTCCACAAAACATGTTTCCACTGCTCCAGAGTCCAGTTGCGGCGTGCTTTACACCACTCCATCCAACGACATTGTGTTTGCTAATGTTAGGCTTGCATGCAGTTGCTCAGCTGTGGAAGCCGATTCCACAAAGCTCCCAGAGGTTAATGCCAGAGGTCTGGAACTCTGTAATTATTGAGTCAACAGAGTGTTGGTGACTTTTACACACTATGCGCCTCAGCACTCGGTGACCCGCTCTGTTACTTTACATGGTCTGCCACTTCATGAATGAGTTTCCGTTGCTCCTAAATGCTTCCGCTTTCGTTTCCTGGGGAAGAGTTGGCAAGCCGGCAGAGGCAGTGTGATGCCCTGGGCAAAGTTCTGCTGGGGAACCTTGATTCATATGGATGTTACTTTGACACGTACCACCTACCTAAACATTTTTGCTGACCAAGTACCCCCCTTCATGGCAACAGTACTCCATGATGGCAGTGGCCTCTTTCAGCAGAGTAATATGTCCTGCCACACTACAAAAATTGTTCCGGAATAGTTTGAGGGACATGAAAAAGAGTTCAATGTGTTGACTTGGCCTCCAAATTCCCCAGATCTCAATCTGATCGAGCATCTGTGGGATCTGCTGGACAAACAAGTTTGATCCATGAAGGCCCCATCTCGCAACTTACAGGACTTAAGGGATCTGCTGCTAATGTCTTGGTGCCAGATACCACAGGATATCTTCAGCAATCATCTGAAGTTGAAGCCTTGATGGGTCAGAGGTGTTTTGGCAGCAAGAGGGGAGCCTATAGAATATTAGTCTTGTGGCTTTAATGTTATGGCTGATCAGTGTAAGACCACCTATGTTTATAATGCATTATAATGTGCATAATGTTTCCCTTTTACATTGGACTGGGGGTCATTCTTCACCAAAAACCCAATGGAGAGGAAAATTTTGTCAGACTTGAATGAGGCATTAATATCTTCTAAGGTGTAAAAATTAATGGAAGAAAAAAAATGCCATGATACCACAAACGTCCTGTCATACATCATACTGCTTATAAGACTGCGGTCTATTCCTAGGTGATTACTAATTCCTAATTACAGCCTTGCACAGTTTCATACAACAGGCAGGAATGTCCCCTATAGCATGCAATTAATAACCTTCTACATTTTTTTATTATGTGAGCGGCCATTGATTACATTTAGCCCCCCGCTGGAATTCAGTATATTGTCCATTAATCTCCGAGGGTAAATGATGTAATCTTAAACTGCCTGAAACTGCTTGACAGGCAACATAAATTCTAACAGACAAGCAGAAATCCTGTTCACCCTCCTGCCAGTTGGAGTATGAAGTAATACTACCTCGACATTTAGGGTACTCCTTTTCAAGCCTCCTTTAAAAAAATCCCGCGTATTTATTAATTAGGCCTAACTGTAATTAGGCCTGTTGATTGGGAATTACTGTCTTGCGTTTAACGACAATTATTGTTTGCGGATATCGTTTTTTATATTGATCTTTTATTTACCTAACTCTCCTAAAATTGGGAGAGATATGTACCGTACCGCATCCTACCCGCACTGCATGCACCGCACCGTTTTATTTGAAATCCATATTCGCTTCGACTGCATGTCATATTAATGGCAATATATGGATGCCGCACCCGTCCCGGGCCTCGTATAAATGCCTAAGAGCTTATTGTCACGTCTCTGATGTCATTTTTTTTTGCCGGCGCTGGCAAGGGGGTGTGTGCGCGCGGAGCACACCCCGGTCCCGTGCGCTCAATCCGGCAGCTCGCGCGCCGCGCTCACCAGCCTTTCAGCCCGGAGTGCATCGTCAAAGTTTGCGACGCCTTCCCGTGCGCGTTTATCCCCCCTCGAGTAAAAGACCATTATATAAATTGCCTATTTTTCCAAGTATTGCTTTCACAACTGAAAGGGAAGACGGAGAAGTGAAGCAGGGTGAGATACTAAATACTCAGGTATTTTGTGCATTTACCTACATTTCCTTTAGTGCATGAGGTAGTTAAACTTAATTTTATGTGCCGCGCAATCTTTATTAATGACTAACACAATGGATCAATTACATAACGGTGTAATTGCGCCGCTAACTTTTTTCCCCCAGAAAATAGTAGGACTGATGCATTTCTTCCTATTTTGTACGCAGTTTTCCAAAGAAGTCAAGGAATAATGGACAGCAATTTGGTGGAAATATTTAAGGAAGACAAGTGCCTGTCCGTGATGTCGGAAGACTGTTTCATTAACTCCACATGGCTGCCTGTTTATTCTGACACGGACAATTTGACGACCCCAGGCACCTGGGAGACTGAGTCCATGCCGCCGATCATACCTCTTATCACGGCAGTTTACTCCGTGGTGTTCGTGGTCGGCTTGGTGGGTAACTGCCTTGTCATGTATGGCATCATCAGGTAAGCTGTACAGTTTAATACAATATAATTTTGCACTGCAAAGCTGGATCGGGTCTAAAATCTCATATATTAACTGTAAATATCTTACCGTCGCATTTCGGATTTACTCTCGATCCAAACATCTGTGTAAAAGAATAAGAAGAATCAGTATGTCTTTTAAGAGTTTGAATATAAATCTCATTTTCCAGTGTGTGAGGGCCACCCAGTGGTTGGTTTGTATAGGAAACGGGATCGTTATGTGCATGATCGAAGGCTGACCACGGGTTAAGTTCCTACAACGTTCCTGTGCTCAGTTGTTTATGCTGAACAATCTTATCCCTGCAGTAAAGCTCCATGCTGGTTTATTGTTTTGTTTTTTTTGAGTCTCCGTTGAACTGCAAGTGCGTTGAAGCAAAATCAACTTGAAGCGATGTTTTCCCTCAGCTTTTGCTTATCAGCTTGTACTTTGTTTCTCGTTTTTGCTGAAATAACAGTGACCCACAAACGTTACTGTTACAGTTTTCTCGATTTCTTTGATACATTTCATGAAACATACTTAACATTCTCTAGACTATAAGAGCATTTCTCAGTCCATGCATGTAGCACAACACTAATGTTTAGCTGCAAAAGCCTGTAACTCACCCAAAACAATTAAATCTGTTCTCAAAAGCAAATAATTCCACCAATGAATTAGTCAGCGCCACCAAAATGAAAAGTACACTCAGCATCGTTTTAACCCTGAGCATCAAAATGCTTAGATATATTGTCAGCATGTCAGTGTAAGTCTGCTCCTGAGCTCCACAATTCTCACTTCTCACTTTCTCATTGTCACTGACAGATCATTTTTCATTAGCAAACTGATACTTATTCAGTTTCACCATTGCAAGGCTCTATATTACAGTATGTAAAGGTCACTGGCAAGAGAAAGCACTGATACACATGTAACTTGGAACATGTAATTTGGAAATTTGTGTGACGTATTGAGAAATGATTCTTTTGCAGTGCAGAAGAGACATTATTGTGTGGGGATTACAATTGTTGATTCGCAAATATTATCATTTGAGAAAACTGTAAAAGTATGTTCAGGTAATAATGTTATCGTGCTGACACTGACAGAACCTTTCTTAAAATGTAAAAGGTAGACATTAAAGAGCCTTTTCTGCCAGCTTTGAGAAGACATTTGCAAAACGTTGGCTAAAGTTCTGATACCATTTCCCGTTAACTGGGTAATCGATATCTATGGGTGGGGATGCGTTAAATGTCTTTCTTTTCATTTTTGAGGAACGTTTCTGAGAATAAGGGATGTGTTCATTCATTCTTCGCCCTGTTGCTTGATAAGTCATTTGTGCTCTTGAGTTCTGCACTGCAGGCCAGAAGGTATGAGATGCAACAGGTGTCCAGGCGAAGCGTGTTCACAAGAGCAACACACAGAGATCCTTCACAGAGTTGGACTGTTGATCACTTCCCCTTCTGTTGGGTCTATGCTGGGTAGTGAAAACATATTAATCTATCACTTATAGACAGATAATGACCAGTGCAAACTGGTAAGCTGGCCAGATACCAAGCAATGAGTGTATTCTTCTAGATGCTTCTATTTAGACACGAGCAAACAATCTGTCAATTTTAAATGGCCGTATTATTACGGTAGTTATAATTTGGCGATCCGTAATTCTCTTATATGATTTCTGATATTCTTGCGGAATGTTTTGAAAGCTTTGCTTACAGTCCATAGGTTGATGGTTATGAATTTTCTGGGTAATTGTTCATTGTATTTTCCTGCCTGTTACAATCCTTTTATATGCAATAATCACATATATCGATTACTGTCTTGTTATAACTTTATATTTGGAGTCTCTCACTTAATCGACCCGTGCTGCTTGATTTAAGATGCTGCTTACTACCATATTTGTTGACTTCACTCTGAAAAACTGAGTGCTCTTGAATTGTTGTAGGTTGAATGTAATGTCTAACATTTCTGTGTGTCGATGGAGCATGTTGTAAATCAAATTGTTTCATAAATGCAGGGTATAGCATGCTTCAAATTTACATTAGCATTAAAAAAAGTAATGGTGCTTTCATGGGTTGAGCAGTGAGGAGAGATTTCAGTGGCTGTAGTGTTTGCTGCATGAGTTACTGACTCTGCTTCACATGATTTGCATGTGTGCGATGCGATATGAATAAAGCGGTATAATTAAAGCATTTTGGTTTTCTTATCTCTCTTCTCCTGCAGGACTAACATTAGTCCCATATCTTGTGAAATACATTAGTATTTATGTAAATATCTTACCAAATACATTTTTCACATCTATTCCCCATCAAGTCCATTTCTGGTTAAATGTATGTGCATGTATTGTACTTCCTGCCAGTTGTCGATTCTTGAATGCAGATCCACAGCCCTTCATGGCCAGGTGGTGATGCAGTTGATCTTGGCTTTAGCATCTCATGAAACCCCCCTGAGGGCATCCATCACATTCAGGGGCTTTTTTTCAGATCTCTGCACACCACAAGACTTTCAGGGGAGAGATTTTCTTTGTAATCTTGGGGAAAAACAAACAGCGGCGTTATATTCATGTTAGGACAACATCACCCAAGGGGGTAATTGTTGGCCAAGAGTTTCCAGCATTCCCAGGGTCTGTCTTTTGTTTCTGAATTGTGTCAGTGTGTGATGTGGTTGGTCTGAGCTTGGGGATTGAAGCTGTGCGATTAGGTCTTCTCATGGGGGAAACCTCACGCAAGTGTGAAATGTTCTGAAGCTTTGCCTTGGAGCAGGATTGATCTTCTCTGCTATTGCAGATACCATAGCAACATCTAAGGACGTCGTCCAATTGTCTTTTTTTATCAGCTGGTATCTAAAGTGCGTGAATATGGGTGTGCGTGCGGTTCCTGTAAGGGGGCCGGAATCTCAGATTCACATCCTGTCTTTCCTGGGATAGATTTCAGACTCATTGTGGTCTTGTGGATTGAAGATGGGTGGGCGAGTGAATGCATGGGTCTTATCCATGAGCATATAATGGGGGGGGGCAGTGGTAGCCTATTTTTAGGGAAGGGCACTTGTGATTGAAAAGTTGCTGGTTTGAATCCCTGACCAGCAAGGTACTACCCCAAGCACAAAGCACAAACAATCGTTTTTGCTATCGCAAGATTCAATTCACAACAATGCAACTTGAAGTCTCCTGTGGTCACAACAAGTCCCCTTGTTTTGAGGTCCATCGTCTTATTAGCAGCAACTGAAGATAAAAATGCTGCCAGAATCAGTTCAGCAGGCCCTGGCTTTTTATGGAAAACCCAGGAGGAGCTACGGAACTTTATCAGCTTAGCAGCACAAAACGACATTTCCCTTATCTCCGTATAGCAGCGTTTCCCAACCCGGTCCTTGGGGACCTACAGACGGTCCACGTTTTTGTTCCCTCCAAGCTCCCTGAAAGACAGTCTACATTTCTGCTCCCTGCCGGGGGCTGGAACAGAGCAATAACATGGACTGTCTGTGGGTCCCTGAGGACCGGATTAGGAAACACTGCCTTATAGGGACGACAAGCATTTCTCTGCTATCCTGCCCTGCCGATCCAGCCAGAATGATTGCATATCTGTATTTTGGCAGTCTGAGCTTGACAGGAGAGGTTGTTCTACCTGACTGAAGGCACAGAGATAGGTAGAAGACAAAAACTGCTTTACGGGTTAAGTTACCCTGAGCAAACAACACATCGGCAGATGTAATGCGTACCACATGACCAATAAGGCCTAATGAACCCAGAGATGTCAATTCATTTCCCCACAATAATCAAAGACGATTTTGCTGTGAGCTGTTTTCCCTGGACACCGGCCTCATTACAGCCAGTCTGATTGCTGCATCGTGAGTCCAAATTACCCAGAAGCCACCATCCGGCACTGACTGCGACGGCCGCCTAATAATGCATGTCTCCGGCACATTAATTGCCTCCCGTGTGTCAAGCGTCCCGGTGGCAATAACTGCAGATTGAACCGGCGCATCGTTCAAGCGGATTCCTGTGCTGACGCAACCGAAACTTCCGGCCAAAATCGAGTGGGTGTCAGTAGGTTGTTGGAGCGTGACTCGTTCCGTTCCTTAGCCCACCTTCCGGGTGGCATTCACTGGTAACCAGAGGATTTATCTCCGGCTCGGTGTAGCCAGATGGCGGTGATGAGTGTGCCTGTTGGGCATCTGGGCCTGACTTTATCCGGCAAGACCGGCGGCTTTTTTAGTGTCTTTCTTTTCCTTTAGGCAACCATCCTCCTTTCAGCTTTAGTCCGTAATGGAATTTCGGACTGGGATCTTAAAAAACGACGTTGTGGACGTTCCAAGTGTTTTTGACACTCTACCATGCATATTGCTGCACTCCATTACTCAAAATTTAACACTATCTTCCAGTGATGTCATCCGATTTGCATGTTTATCATCCGATGGATCCAGGGGAGGATACAGGGGTCTGACAACAGGGGCCTTAGCTAAATCTGAAAGCTGATTGGCCCCTAGAGTGCCCCTTTCCCTGTCACTCACTGATTCAGAATATATCATTGGCTAATGATAAGATTGGACCCTCTGTATGAATTATGGCTCCTCCAATGCCCCCCCCCACCTGGATGGGTCTGTTAAGCTGTAAACAAATAAAAATGTACATGAATACGTGTCCGAGATCATTAACCTGGAATTAAAAACATATGAACATCTTAGACCATAAAATACTGGCTGAACACAACGCAAGAGATTAAAATGTGAATATGCTCATAACTGGCAGCATGTTTACTGTATTCATGCTTTATTTCCTCGTCTGACTTCTTTTAATGACAGATGTCTCTATCTAATGGCCTAAATAGCTATAAATCACAGACGCTCCTCTCAGATGCATGCAGTCGTTCATGGTCATTCTCTTCCTATTATCTGTGGTATTGGGGCACAGTCAAAATAAATGAATCTGCAAACTGCCGATTGCTGCTTGGAAAAAAGGCTTAAAAAACAGGGAAAGTAGGAAAGCTTATTATTATAAACCCTGCCAGTCAGACTGTTTATTTTATTTGAACTAAATATAACATATATCTCAGGCCCCATATACAGGTTAAGAGAGTATGAACATCTCAGAATGCCTTCTGCTTTGGGCTATATGTTTCTGCTGAAATACGGGCGTCCACACCGTGCCTGATGAAAAGTCTCCAAGGGCAGGTGACCGAAGCAGACGGGCATCTCGCCAACCGCCAGCCCGCTACAGGTCCTGCAGTGATCTTCCACAGCACACTCAGATGGAGCTTTCGCCCACTTAACAGTCCCAAAATTGTTTACGGCCATTACCGTTCATTACCAACTAAAGTAATGCTTTGCCGGAATGATCCCCCGTCAAAAAATACAGGTGTTAACAATAGGCAGGCCATTGACAGCCTGTCTAAAAGCATAATGAAGATGTTTTTTCTCCACACAAGGGCAGGAAAACATCAGGCACCACCATGACTCCACACATTGGGGGCTTTGCAAAATACAGAAAATGATGTTTACACTTGAACGCTGCAGAGGTCTGGGTACACATGCCCCGTGTCGTTTATGGCTGCTGGCCAAAGAATCCATGTGACCACAGAATCCTTGATGGTTACCGTGGAGTTTGCCAACATGCGATGCCACGGCTATGGAAACAAAAGGCAACTTAGACACACTAAGAACCCCTAGAAGCTGTCACCTCCGCCATACGTGTAACATGCAGGGGCAGCTTTGTTGTTTGCGGGCCCCCACTCAAAAAGTCAGCCCCCATGCCCCCGCTTAGATGTTTCAAAAATTAAATAAATAGCTAGCAAGTAACTGAATAAGATCCTAGCTAACTAGTTGGTTAGCAGAACATGCTGTGTCAGCATCTCCCAAATAAGGAACGCATTTATTTAATATTTAGCATTAGTGACACTTTGTGGCCAACAGAGGGCGCCCAAACCTCAGGGGCCCCATTCACGTTCGTGGTTTGAGAGATGGTTTCATTTCACTCATCTCATTGCCCAGGATGTACGCTTTTTTTTTTTATCAAGTCAGCCTACTCTGGCGGCAGCTTTATTTAGACATCATAAAAGCTGAAGGCAAGTTTTATTAAGGTTGACGCAATAGCCGCGGGTGAGAGTTTGAGCCTCAGGTGCTGGGTACTGCCAGGGTAACACCGTTCTAGAGCGATTATCACTGATGACTGTCTGGCCAGCAGCTGTGAATCTGGAAAATGGCCTTTGGTGAACTGCCATTTGCAAAATCCCACCTCTGAATATCAAGGTGTCTCTCACCCACCCACTTCCTCTCCTTTCAGATATACGAAGATGAAGACGGCCACCAACATCTACATCTTCAACCTGGCGCTGGCAGACGCCCTGGTCACCACCACCATGCCCTTCCAGAGCACCTACTACCTGCTGAACTCATGGCCCTTCGGTGAGGTGGTCTGCAAGGTGTTCATCTCCATCGACTACTACAACCTCTTCACGAGTACCTTCACGCTCACCATGATGAGCGTGGATCGCTACATCGCCGTCTGCCACCCTGTCAAAGCCCTTGACTTCCGCACGCCTGTCAAGGCCAAGATGGTCAACGTATGCATCTGGATCCTATCTTCGGCGGCTGGGATTCCTGCTATGGTCCTTGGAAGCACTCAGACTAACAACGGTGAGTACCGCATAGGGACGATTCTCAGATTTTTTAAATTAAGGCAGGGGAGATAAGTGGGGCCATCATTCATACAGAGGGGTCAACCCTATCATTAGCCAATGATATGTTTAGAATCAGTAAGTGAAATGGGAAGGGGTACCCTGGCAGCGAATCAGCTTTCAGCTGGAGGCAGTGCACCTGTTGCCCCGCCCTTATATATGCCCATGAGCATAAATGAAGAACCTAATTATTAACATAACTTTAGTGGCATTCAGTGAAGCCATGAAGCTTTATCAAGGGCGTGGCAACAAATTCCTGGGACTTTCACAACCTTTTGGTCCAAGCCAAGTCAGTAGACTATCCACATTGTGATGACTTGCTAGTTTGCTCTGTTAATCATTTATCGATATGAATAACGGGCCGCTCACCATCACAGGGACCACGGAGTGTGCCCTGCAATTCCCTGAGCCATACGTCTACTGGGACACGCTGATGAAGATCTGCGTGTTCATCTTCGCCTTCATCGTGCCAGTGCTCATTATCACGGTGTGCTACTCGTTAATGATTCTGAGGCTGAAGAGCGTTCGGCTGCTATCTGGTTCCCGGGAGAAGGATCGCAACCTGCGGCGGATCACCAAGCTGGTCCTGGTGGTGGTGGCGGTCTTCGTGGTCTGTTGGACACCCATCCACATCTTCATCCTGGTCAAGGTGCTTGCCACCGTGCCCTCCACCACTGCTGTCAACGCTGCCTACTTCTTCTGCGTGGCCCTAGGTTACATTAATAGCTGCCTCAACCCCATCCTCTACGCCTTCCTGGATGAAAACTTCAAACGATGCTTCAAGGACTTCTGTCTGCCCACCAAACTGAAGGCGGACCGGACCAGCAACACCCGGGCCAGGAGCACTCTCCGAGAACCCTCCCAGCCGCAGGAGAACCTGGACAGAACCGGCAAGCCTGTATGACTAGCCGTGGAACTGTCCTCCTTTACACCACATGGAAGAGAGGATTCAAATGACCTTGGTTTAACACAGATCACGTCGGCTGTCTGAACCCATGACGCAACATATTCTGCTGCAGAATCTACTGATATTCATCTGCTTTGAGGAAGACTGGTGCAACACATTCATGCACCCCATTTCACAAAGAAATTACAGAAATAACCATTCGCCGGTAAAAAATCTAATCAAATTTGTTTATTGAATAATGGCGGACTGTACAACATGAAACATCCATTAGCAAATGATCGAGTATCAAAGTCCCATATGTAGGAAACAGATTTAATAATATGTCTGTTTGAGCAAAGTTCCTGCAGGATTTGATCAAGGATGGAATATGTGTTGGGTTCATGTTTCATATTTTCAGTATTCATTTAAAACTATAGAATGTTCCAGAAAGGACACTGATTTGTGTGCCACCATCAATGTACATGCAAGTGGAGGATTTAAGTAATGGTAGAATATTGTACATATAACATAATTTTGTATGGTGAAGTTCTTAATAGCTATGTATAGAGGCAGGGACAGTGCCTCCAGATTCTTGTGCTAAAGGAGATCCATGAAGTTCTTAGCGATCACATTCTCGGATCTGCCTCAGTAACCCTTGGCGTCTCTCTGTGCTGTTGTGAGGTGGCCTCGGGGCGTGAATGTCTTGAAATTATTGAAAATAAGCTGCCTTCACATAAGTGTGCTTTTTTTCCGTTAGCTGTTATGCCTCAAAAGCTCCACAATCAGCAACAAGGAATGAGGATGAGCTGAAGTCAATGGCTATGCAGGCTCTGCAGATTTCTTTGGTGCGTGAAACATTTAAATAATGCTCTCATGCTTATTTTAAACAGCCATATAGGGGTTTTCCCATTAAACACATCACATTCATTATACTTAGCTCTACATATTACATCCATCATTAGCCTTAGCCATTTTAGACAAATGTTTTGCACACTGGGTTTTACTATATCTTATTTCTGGATGCCTGTAATATATCTGGTACAGATCAGTTGGCCCTCAGTAGAACAGAGCTTGTTTCCATGCTCATTTTATTTATATAACAAATCCTTTTGTCCAAAGTGATATGCATGTAAGGAAAGCAGAGCCAGTCAGCATCTATGGAGCTGTTGGAATTAGAGTGTTGTTCAAGGCGATTATTCTGCCCATCACAGAATTTGAACCCACAACCTCCAGGATAGAGGCACAAATGCCAAACCCACAGCTACACACCACCTCTCCATCACAAGCCACCAACACCGGTATTCCCTCAAGTTGCTATTCCTTGTAGATCCCAAAGGGAACTACGAATCAAAACCTAATGACCCCACATACACCAAATACTCAAGTACAGGATATTAGTGTTTAATGACATTTAGGAAAATCCTTCATATTATCTCGTTAAGAGTTCACTCTTTTCGACTTTCCTTCTTGCCTCCCAATGTGCTTGTAAGAATTATCATTTTTTAGAGGTATCCCAGAAAATCCCTCTACCAGGATTTCAACCTTTTTCCCAACAGCTGCAGCTCTTGGCACAAGTCGCTCCTGGCTTAGAAGCAATTCTAGTATCTCTGTATATTAAAAATGCCAAGAGCTGATTCTTGAATAGATCACAGGCCTGTTTCCTTTTTTATTTGCATCTTCGACATGCCTTACACATGTAGATAACCCATTTTTGAGATCTTCTTTTGAGAATTGTCATTTAACTCAACGTTGAGTATTAATATTGTGTAAAAAAAACAAAAAAAACATCAGTGTGATGTGTCTCAGAAGTCAACAAGAGTGTTTTTTTTAATATTGAAGACTGGTATACTGAAGGACAATGACCTGATGGGCAGGAAAACACTTAGTGTTTATAGCCTAGTTTATACTGACAGCCACTTGGTTTTAAACTTTTCCTGACACCTCAAGGGGAGAATAGCATTTTTCATTGTGCCATTTTTTGATGTACAATCCTTTACTTTTATGGACAGAATAATTTATTCTATTTAACACAAGTGACCTTGAACATCCAGGATCCATGCGTCAGAGTTTTCCAGTTGGACTCTCTGTGCCAGGGAACGTTTGCACTGTAAGTTGCATGCTCTGAAATTCCCAGAGCTGAATGGTGCACTTCAGGCTTGAATCTGACAGACCGTGGGATTATACCCATAATCCATTGCTGCTGGGGGCATAAAAGGATATTCCAGCTCAGAATGGCATCCTTTATTCAAGTTGAGCTTGAACTTCCTGTTAGAAGATGGTGAGAATCCTGGAGTTGAATGTTCATTTGAAATTTGACAGAGGGCTTTACACTTTGACCTTTGCAGGTCTAGTTGTAATTATTATAATATAATTAATATTGACATCTGTGGTACATGTCTCACTTTTGGATGCATTAATGTACAGTGGTACCTCGGTTCTCGAACTTAATCCATTCCGGACTCCGGATCGAATCCTAAAAAGTTCGAGTTCTGATCGAATTTTTCCCATACGAAATAATGGAAAACCAATTAATTGTTTCCCGCCCCCCCCAAATTTCCCCTTAATTTTTTTTTTTTTTTAGCATTTAAACACAAAATGAACAGGATAAAACAATAAGATCTTTTTTTCCTTAATGGCTTCCAAAACGATAAAGATCTTATCCCAACATTACCCCTGTCCTGCCCCGATCGTCCGCTCCTTCCGTGTGCCACGCCCCCTCGTTAACCTCGTGTGGGACCCCCATGTGATCAGCTGTTTAGGGTTGTTGTCATTAGTCCTCTGTATTAAGTCCGCGTTTCAGTTTGTTTCCCCCAGTCCGATCATTGGGTGCGTTCGACCTGCTTACAGCGCTGGCTTAAAGCAACGCATTCTGATCCTGACGCAATACATTACGGTTAGATGCATTGCGACCTCTCACCCGGCTGCACAAACTGGAACCGCCTCCGTGACGACACACCTTTGCCATTATCCGTTTTTATCCGACTTCAACGTCATAAAAGGGGCGTGTTTCCGACGGGAAGTGATGTTTTTCGTGACGTATCGTGACGTTTTCATCCGAGTTCCGACTTGGAGAGAAATAATCGAACGCACCATTAGCTGAAGAGTTTAGTTACACGCATGACGTTTGTATCCTAGGCAGTTCCGATGCGTAATCTGCTATTTCTCCTGAATATCACGTAAAGCAGTGAGAACTGGTTTTCAATTAATTTACCTGGTAAAATAAAGTTTAAATAAATGACATAAATGCTCTAATAGTACACGTAAGTTAGTGGTTTATTTATTGTTAGTTACTGTAATGTTGCGCTGCTTTATTTGGTTAATTGTCCAGTCTGTGAAGAAGGCATTCAAGTAAGAATTGCATTGTAGTATGACTCATTTCCTGGCGCGTACAATTTATATTAGGTCAGCGTTCACGGTTCGACTTCTGATATTCAGATCGAGTTCTAGGTCAAACTGGTTTGTTTGACTTTCAAGAAATTCGAGTTCTAGTGAGTTCGAGAACCGAGGTACCACTGTTTATAGTAACATCTCACTGATACAAGCTTACCCACAAACACATTTCAAAACTGAAATTAAGGTTGTTAGATTAAGAGGTCTTGCATGTTGACCAGCTTTAAGGTAGATATTATAAACTGCACATGGTCAAACTAACACATCCACGATGGCAGGTCATTGTATTTAACCAAAAATATAAAAACATAATAGATTTACTGTTCAGGCAAGGATCATTACATTCACTGACCTTGACAGGTAATTACTGTTAAGCTTGTGTGTGTGTGCGCGTGTATGTTTACCCGACATGTGTGTCCGTGTGTGTGTAAGTGTATTTTATTCAGAGTCCCTGATCATCCATCTGTTTTTTCCCACTGTGTACATAAAAGGGGATTTTAATAACGATTTGTATAGGTTATATAATAATGGTGGGTACATATGTATTATGGTTATAATGCAGTATTTGAACAATATATGCTTGTTTTTGTAACAAATTTGAAGAGAGGTTTGAGCAACATGACCTTAGAACAATATTCCATTGCCTGTTATTGCATAAGTGCGAATGTTGTATAAAGCTTTATTTTGCTGTTAAATAGACAAATGCCATGCTAACAAAATGTCTCCCTGCTTTGTTATTGAAGCACCCAGAAGATTTCCACCTTAGACGACCTGTTTCCATTATGTTGAAATTGTATAGCCTCGAACTGTTTGAATAAATGATCTACCGAATAAAGAATAAAGACAATATGACTGTCGATTTTAGTGCATTACCTGGAAAATCTCCTGCCTCATCTCCAACCTTTAACTCGATGCAAAGTGTGATCAATTTTCACCAGAAAGCTGGGCTTCTTATTAGAAAAACAAGCTTTTCACTCCATTTTCACTCATCATCACATGGTTAGTACTTTTTAGGTCCTTTTATGTTGCCACATGACTCATTGGAACATTTAGATGCTCTCAAGAGTACAACAGCAGTATCCTTTTGAGGTAGAACCTACAGCATCAACATTGAGGTTACAAATCCATGGTTGTGGCTGTTCCACTTTATGGACTCCACAGAAATCTGAAAGGATTGCTACCTCCCCAGGTTAACAAATTTTACCAAACTTCCAAAGACCTGTGACACGACTGGAACACTAGTGCCCACTCAAATCCCCAGGATGGCATCTTGGTAACGCCATTGCTTAGAACACACCCTCCACCAGCACCATGGCACAAAAATGCCAGTTGTGTCCCATATGGGAAGTGCATCTTTACTGCATGTTCCTCCTGAGTGGACTGAGGGACCACATGGGTATTGTTGCCATGGCTTCTGGTGTCGAGTTTGTTGTTTTCAAGTGCGATGAGAAGGTTACCATGACAATGGGGACACTTTCTGCACCCCCAACCCCCGTTATCCAGGCGCTCATTAAGACCTAGAAACCCACGACAGTCAAGTGGGTTTCTAGGTCACATCTCAATCTGGCTCATGCAGGGCGACTGGTTCAACTCAATCGCATGGCAGAGAGCAGCAGGAGAAACCTCAGTCAAGACCTTCAACTGGGATAAGACTGCTGCACTGCGCGTGCTGATTCAGGTAGGTGGTGCTTTATTGCCTGATCATTTACCTCTGGCAAACCGCTGTTGTGTTTTATAGCAGAACAACAGAAGCAGAAGCAGGAGGGAAAGAGGAAGCCTGATATTCCTTATTCTAAATAATGTCATAAATAATGACTTTCAGCCTGGAATGTGAATCACAATCTTGTACTACAAAACAAAAGTACAAACCACAGCCATTGTGTTCACATGGGGGAGGCTAAGTGGGGGGTGCCAGTTCAATGTTCATTCTTGGCAGCCTATCCATGCAGTATCAGAGACAAGGCTATTAAACATGACCTTTAATCCAATCATCACAAAAACCCTGGCATAATTAGATAATTATAGTCCAATTATGGTAATTGAGTCTCAAGAGCCATTGTTAATACATAATTGCGGTTTTCCACAAATGAGACACCGATGTTTTATTCTCGTCATGTATCACTTACTACTTTTCAATCATTTTATAGTGTGACCAATGACTGTGTGTGTATTGTGATGGTGGGGGGTGATTTTATATAGATATATTTTTTTAAAAAATCAGAATAGATCATTAGTATTTATGTTGATATTGGTGATTTTTGGATCCTATCCATGGTGTCACCTACCTTTGTTCCTTGTGCCGCCTGAAATAGGCTCTAGGCCCATCTCGATTCTTTATTGGATAAGCAGTTACGGATGGATGGATGGATGGATGGATCATTCGATCGATGGAGGGATCAATGGATTGAGGGATGGATGGATGGATGGATGGGTGTTCTGAACTGTAGTCTCAGAAACATGTGGTCTGTTCAGACACTTTACTATGGGCTACACATTCAGTGCTGGGTCTTTAAATGCTGCTGTAGCCATGGTAACCATTATAACTCTTGCATAAGGGCATATACGTCCAAGGCCGACAATTGTGTAGAACATTAATGATGCAAATGTTACAGGCTGGATAAATGAGCACTTTTAGACAGGCCCGCTCTCACACCTACAGTAGCTTTAATATCTGTTCCAGGTGAGATTCATACAGTGTATTTAATGTCAGGTATCTCACCTATAACTGTTTCAATGTGAGATATTTTCTGGGGAGGGATCGTTCTGGGTGAGCTGAACCAGGAGATTGCAACCAATGAAACAAATGAAAACGAATCAAGGATTAGGGTTCATAGGCAGAGGTGCACTGGGAAGGAAACACTATCTGAGACTGTAGTCAACTGAGACCAGTGGCAGTACGTACCACAACTCAAGCCAGAGATGCATGGGGCTCCTGAGGCTTGGGGTCCCCCTGTTGGGCATAAACTGTCATTACACCAGGGTGAATTTTTTTTTGCGTGAGGCCCCAGAAACAACAAACACATCTCTATCTGACCCCACGGGAGAGCTGTACTACTCCCCTTTCTTATGGACATGAGACACTGCCCATGTGACGAGGACGCGGGCTGCATCCTCTCACGTGCTGAGAGCCCCAGGCTACCTGTCACCAATAAGCAGGCCCTACTGAACCCAAACAAACCTGAGGAGACACAATGACATTTACAGTATCTGTCAAAACTCTGGACGCACCTCTTTCAATGCATTAGTCTCTGTTTTAGCTTTGTTATCCCGCTTATACTAAAACACCTCAAGGTAATGAAATAATGCATATCCAGTATTGTGACAACTAAGAACTGGTCAATATCAACATTGTCTCAGATTGTAGCCTCTTCAGAACAGCCCCGTCTCGCTGTGATGACAGCGCTGCAGACTCTTGGCAAACTTTTCCACCAGCTTCCAGATGTAGCCACCTGGAACGCTTCGACAATAGTCGTGAAGGAGTTTCCACAAGTTGTGGGCACAAGTTGGCTGCCTTGGTCTTATTCTCCAATGCAACTCATGCCAAAGCATCTCTATAAGGTTTAGGTTTGGGGGGGTTGTGGGGACCATCTGTCACAGCACTCCATCTCATTCCATGTTCACAAGATGATACAGTACTTACATCACCTCAAAGGTGCGCTTAGGGTCATTATCTTATTGGACGAACAAATGATTTTCAGTAGCTGTGGCCAGACTTTTGACTGGTACTCTACTACTGTATGTATTTACAAACAGGCGTAGAGCTTTACCTGTGAGACTGACCAGAAAACACAGCTAGAAGACCGATGGATGGATGTAGGTGTCTGCCTTCTAAATACTTACAATCAATTAAAGATTCATTTATATTTTATTCATTCTGCAGACACTTTTACCCACTTTTACTTTTGCCTTGCTCTAAAGTCCAGCAGTGACATTACTCTACTGACCTTGGGATTCAAACTCACAGCCTTTTGATGACAGTTACATGGTGCCAACTCATTGGGCCACACACAATCCCCAAAAGACAAGGAGTGGAGTCAGCTATCTATGCAGCACCC